CAGGTGGGATTTGTTGGCTTTTATCGCTAACTGGATTGCCCCAAGGAAAAACTATACTTCTCCTCTTCTTTAGCAGCTTTGGGCTCCTCATTTTTTGCCCTTGGGCATCAATTTATGGAGAATCTCTATCACATACTTACTTTGGAATCTGTGGAAGGGACAGAACCTTTGAAAGGCGGAGCCGTGACCTCCATATCTTCCTCATGGCTGTCCAGCGATCCATCATGGCATGGGCTTATAACTTCTTACCTGTTAATTCCATACCCAAGGAGTTCTTCTTTGCCCTCTTTAGGGACCTTATGTTATTCAAGCCTATTCATAAGTCTCTGCGATTTGTGTGGAAGCCTCCCCCGATGGGTTAGGTTAATCTCAACTTTGATGGCAGTGTTTGCTGGTTACAGGGGGTATACTTCGCGATCACCTTGGAACCACGATCTGGACTATTTCCAGAAGAATTCATTATTGTGAAACTATGGGCATTGAAGATGGGGATTTTAAATCTAGATCACTCCAACCACAAAGTTCTCATTGAAGGTGATTCGGCTAATGTTATAACTTGGTGTCTGAATCCAAACTCCACCCCATGGCACCTTAATGCTCTTATAGATGAAATCCTAGTCCATTTGAGGATTGTTCAAGTCGAATTTGCTCATGTTGTCAGAGGTTTCAACTTGAAGGCTAACTCCTTAGCTAAATTGGCAACATCATAAGCCTGATGTTGTTGTTGTTCTCTTTTCTTTCTTTTCTTTTATTTTTCTCTCCTCTTCCCCCTACCCCTTGGGGTTCTCCTTCTTTTTTTTTGTTTCTTGTTTGTATCTCCTTTCATTATTTTAATGAAGCCCAAACTTACTCAAAAAAAGTGCATGGTGGGAAGTAGTAAAAAAGTATAAGATGAGTTATAACTTTATTGAAGGTATGACCCTTAATAGAGCAGAATAATAGACTAGGATCTATGTAGCCGACTCCAAAGAGTTGAAAAAAGACTATGATGATGATAATGATGATGATGATGATAATAACATAACATAAGGGAAAGTATATAATGAGATCATTTACCTTTGATACAAGGTGGTCACAATTAATCTTTGACCATTTGATGTGAAATTGGATGACTGCATTATTCCATTGACAAAGCTCAAACTTCAAAAAGAAATTTCTCAAACTTTGTGATGCATCCAAGCTACTAGATTTCACATCGGATGGTTATAAATAATTGTGACCTTCCTATATCAACAGTAAATTATTTTATTGTATATAATCTCATAATATAGTATAATAAATACAATATAAAATTTATTTATTTTACTACCAAAATTTCATACCATAACGAAAGCTAGCTCCAACTATCTATTTACCCGACGTGTGGGTTACAAACTTAAGTTAGGCTTTATATATATCTATAGAAAACCGGCTTTGTGATTGCTCACTATGCCTGCAGTACTCCGAAGCCTTTGCAGTTTGCGCATTGCACAAATGGCCGACAATGCCACAGTCATAGAAGTGGTGATTGAGAGAAGGTAGCAAGTAGAGTTGTTCATTCAACTCAAAGGCAAGCGTAGTGGTTGCTATTTTAATGAAAATAATTACAAAACTTTCAACCGCATCAACCCCGTGAGGACCAAAATAACAGCCAACGTCACAACCCAAGGAAGATTACCAAAGATCCTCTTACAAAGATAGAGACTCTTCACTAAAGAGTATTATAATTAGCAACCTCTTAGCAATCGCGACCTTGGACATCATGAGCTCTAACCGAAGAGCTGTTGTTTGGTCTCCTCCTCCTTTATACTCAATCAAATTGAACTTTGATGGAAGCAACTTTGGCAATCCAGGAGCAGCAGGCTATGGTGGGATGATTAGAAATCACTTGCGTCATGTCTTATGCTCATATTCAGGTCTGTGTGGTATTGCTACTGCAAATGAAGCAGAGACTAAAGGTCCTAGAGAGTTTGAAACTTCTTTCACAGTGGGAAGGGCAAAAGATTATTGAAGGAGATTTGGCAAATATCATAGCTTGGAGCCGTGAAGAATTCAATGTTTCATGGAGCCTTAGAGTGTTGTTTCATGAGATAGGAACATCCTTTCTTCTATCAACACTAATTTGCATCATTGCTTTCGTGAGACGACTGAGGAGGCAGATGCCTTAGCCAAAGGAGGAGCAAACTCCACTTCTTTGCTTGTCAATTATTTTTAACACTTCCTCTTCTTTACTCCCTGTATATCTTATATTTTGTAACTTTTTTTTTCATTTAATGGAAATGTTGTATTAATGTTAAAAAGAACAAAGAGATCACCCGAAGAACTATTGGGGTGAGCACAATTAAAATCAAATGCACGGCACTCATAGCCATGTAGTCTTCGGAAGGCTGATTAACGACTATTTAGGAGAATATATGGTAAATTGCTAACTGACCCCAAATAGTTGGGATACGTTTCAGATGATAGATACCTTGCTCAAATCCATGCCCTGAATGCACATTGGTGGAAGCAAGATCATGGTTACTTGGCCAATGTCTTCAAGTATCATGCTCAGAAAAAGCGACGGTGGAGGGAGATTCAATTAAGAGAAAATATCCTATTATCCCCTATTGTTAACTTCTATATCTCATCAGACCCAAGAACTGAAAATATTACTTGTAAGCAAAAAGGCTCCATCTTTTCTATCTTCCAACCCCCTAAACCCTTTTGACCATGTATTATGGATCTTAACAACTTATGAAATAACTCAATCTCTCTCTCACATCATCATCTCTCTCTATCTCAAAACTCCATCTCTCTCTCACATCATCATCTCTCTCTATCTCAAAACTCCATCTCTCTCCCTAAAACTCAAACTCTATCTCTCTCTAAAACTCCATCTCTCTCTAAAACCCAAACTCCATCTCTCTTTCTCTCTCTAAAATCCATATCTCTTTCACACATAAGAAAGTGTGCTTGTGTTCGAGCTTAAGCTAAACCCCTTGGCTAGTAAACTCACCCAGAAGCGAAGAGAGAGAGATGGAGTTTTAGAGAGAGAGAGGTGGAGTTTTAGAGAGAGAGAGATAGAGTTTGAATAGGGTATCATTTTAGTGTTTGTTTAGGTAAAAAATTTATGGTCAAAAGGGTCCAGGGGGTTGTAAGATAGAAAAGATGGACACCTTTTGCTTACAAGTAATATTTTCAATTCTTGGATCTCATGAGATATGAAAGTTAAAAATAGGGGATAAAGAGATATTGTCCTTTCAATTAATGCCTTCACTGAAGCAGACGGGATTGTGAAGGCCCTTGGCATCTTACCTCCAACTCAAAAGATGAGATTAAGGACGTCAAATGATACAGATGTCCTTCTCTGTCATACTTTTACAGAGAAGTTAACTCCTCAACAATGGAAGAAGTTGCCCAATCTTCATTCATAGTCAATAGACTTTGATCATCTTTGCATACCCACTATTAACAATTTTTGATGACGCGACATATGTCTACATATTTGTTAAGGTAATGAAAAATTTCATGTTAACATTCGAAGAAAAAAAAAAAAACATATTTACTAATTCTTCGAAATTTATTATGTTAAAAACCATAAATCCGCGAATACCATTCAGCACATGAGTTTCCAATAAAAACCTTCTAAACCTTGCATTAAGCAGCCCTAATAGGGATGGAGAAAAACCAGGTTAAGTTTTACGCCCATCCCCGAGAGAGGGATACAACATGCCCTATCAAAAAATGGGGCATCCAAAACAATTGTCATACAACATGCCTTTTCCAAGAATGGTGCATCCAAAACAATTGTCATTAGAGTTTGAGTTTTGTAATTTTTATAATTATTACTGTAGGGTGATTCTTGGACTTTCTGAATACAAATCCTCATGTACATGTACCTTTTTTAAATGGAAGGTTATAAGTTAACATTGTAAAAGCGAAATGTACACAATTAGACCTTTACTTTTTATACAAAGAAGTCACAATCATCATTTATCGTTATATTCACAAAGTTTAAATTAGAATTTCTCAAATATTATCACGCTTTCATTTATTGATTTTGCACATCCAATACCTAAAAGTGCTTGTGACGTCTTTGTACCCCAAAAAAAATATCTCATACTATACAATCCCAACGTAAAAACAAAAAAAAAAGAGGTTTTAACAAGTCCCGGGTATATTGAATTTAATGTACAGCTTTCATGAACACACTATATATTACCAAAAGCGGAAGCCACACAAAATGCCAAGGACTTGTGCGCCGCACCATCCATGAATGGCACTCTATACAAAGCCGTAACTTCTCTAACTGAAATCTAAAGGGAGAAAGATGCCCAAAAGAGCAAGGAAAATGTGATGGAGAAGTCATAAGAGAACGAGCTCTCTAGAAACAAACCTGGACTGAGGGGTGGGAAGTTAAGGGAGGCATTTCGGAAAACCTAAGTGTTTGGAGATAACCAGTAGCAGCAAAGAAAACCCCATGTGCCTTGCACATTAGAGTAATCCTTCTATGATATTTCAGCACTAATTTTCTTGGATATTATGGAGAACTTAACTGGAAGACACGTCTGCCCCGCCAACACATTCGTTAATGGCATTGAACAGGATCCAAAATGCAGGTCACCATTATAAGATTATTTCTTTGCCTCATATTGGAACCCTTAGTTGTAAGGCCTCTCCCATTTTGAATCTGACTCCATAGCAGTGGCAATTGGAACTCTTTTTCCAAAATCTTTCTTGGGGGCCTCAAGAAACTTGGTACTGATCTTGCATGTTACAACTACTGCCCGAAATTATGGAATTTTCAACTTTATACTTCTTTTGTTTTCACCCGTATTGTTGCAGAAAAGAACTGGTAAGGAACATGTATTACATGATTCCTCATACCAAGTGAAAAAGAAAAATTCAAACGCTTCTTCCTCTCCGTGAGCTTGCTATAAACTAAAGTTAGATGGTTGCAGAAACTTCAGTAATTAACAGAATTCATGTAAGAGCATGCCGGACATATTCATCTGCACGCATTAGGAGATCTAACAGAGTTAGAAGGCACCATGGCAGTTCAAGCCTCCCAAATTTTCAAAATCTATTTCAATGGTAGAAATCACAGATTTCTTTACGGGAAGGCCTGTGTTAAAGGCATTACCAAATCCGCCAAACCAGCAAGTTTCCTGCAACAAAATTCTTCAGTCTCATAGGAAACCATAATCGGTGAAGAATGGTGCACAAAATCTCTATATACACAAAGTATGAAGGACTTGAGGCACTCAAATGTTAACCACACGGTGAGAACTGATGCCCTAGCAATGTCACGGAGTTAGAAAAGGAATAGAAGAGTAAAGAAATGAAATTTCATAGCAAAATTTGCGGGCAGGCGAGCGGGGCGGGGGGAGAAAATTCCTTGGTTTCCTTGATACCTGCCCTTGGCAGAGGAGGGGGGAGAGAGAGAGAGACTAGGAACTTGTGTCTCTATCAGCTGAGTCAGGCGACTGGTTTTCTGCATTATCATGTTGCATCTTTGACGCGTGCCACTTGGAAAATCCTTCCTGCAGAGCCTTTTTCATCCACGAATGCCGGCAATGCTCCTCTGCTTCGGGGATTGTGAGCCATCTTCTTTGTCGCATGCTTTGTTCGGGCCAAGAAACAAGCTCCTCAGTCACAAGCAAAGCAAACATTGCAGCTCTGCACAAACCTTCTGGACTGAGCTCATCTTGGTGGGTTTTACTCTTAAATTCATAGAACCCCAAGAACTCCTACAAAGTTTACACCAAAAAGTTATTTCAATGTGATTTTCAAGATGAAGCCTTATTTCAACATTCACCATTGATCACTCTAAAGTAATCTTTCCTAACTAAGAATTCACCACAAAAGGAGGTGCTTTCGACAAATTTGAATAAAACAATCAGAATTGAGTAGTTTCCTGAGACACTAAGTCACTTTTAAACATCTTGGATCATCTGTCAATCAAACCCAAGGGAAAGCCAAAATTAGGTAGTAAGGCATCACAAATATTTTTACTGCATTTAAGTACACAAAGAATTTGAGGATGCAGGCAGATGTTATCAACTCAGGGACAATATTAAGCATGACTGCAGAAAAAAAATCATCCCAAGATTATTAATAAGCCAAATCTTTAATTTAAAATGAACTATAATCTACAAATTGCTGCATTATTCCTATGTTCCAGGAATGGTGCATAATTCATAGTTCCCTGTTAATCGTGTTGTGAGCTCAAGCAAGTCAAAGCATCAAACTTGAGACTTTTTGGCATGCACATTTGGAGCATTAAAGAAGGGGGAGGGGGTGGGGTATGTTCTCCCATAGCAAGTTCAAATTTTCCTAATTTGGTATATTTTCTTATTTCACTTTAATCTACAATAAAAAAAATCACTTAAAACCAACTCTATAATTGACCACATGCTATCTCGCTATGTAAAAAGGATTGCATGAGATGCAACTTTTCTCCTTATGGTATTTAATGCTGTGATGCAAATTTCTTCAGGTAGAAAAACACATAGAAGAAAGAAGAAATTTAATGGATCGTTTGGATCCCAGGGTGTCCAAAATCATATTTCGAATACAAATTATTTGGCAACTTTTTTGGACTCATCATCATGCTTTTTCTGTAAGCAAGAAAAAAGGCCAAAACATGGGAACACAAAGTCAGAAAAAGCTTGGCTTATCCAAAACATGACTTTTGTGTATGCATGAGAGAAAGAATATAATATAATACAACTGATGATAATACAATAATATTATTAATGTTGAAATAACTTATAATATTAATATTATTATAATATAATGATACCAGTAATACAAATTATTATAAAAATAAAAATGGTATACTCAATAATGAATGTAATAATGATATAATAAGACGTATAATAGTATTATAATATTAATATTATTATAATATAATGATACCAGTAATACAAATTATTATAAAAATAAAAATGGTATAATCAATAATGAATGTAATAATGATATAATAAGATGTGTACTACTACTACTACTACTACTACTACTACTACTACTACTACTATACCAGTAATACAAATTATTATAAAAATAAAAATGGTATAATCAATAATGAATGTAATAATGATATAATAAGATGTATACTACTACTACTGTTACTATTACTATTACTGTACTATTACTATTACTATTACTATTACTATTACTATTACTATTACTATTACTATTACTATTACTATTACTATTACTATTACTATTACTATTACTATTACTATTACTATTACTATTACTATTACTATTACTGTACTATCTCCATATTTTTAGAGAGAAACTATCGTAAATTTTAAGTTTTAGAGAGAGAGTATTATGAAATTTTTTAGAGAAACTCTATCAAATTTTAGACAGAGAAACTACCTAAAAATTTTAGCATTTGAAGAGTGACAAAAAGTAGCTGCTTTCTTCTCAATACCTTAGTTCTATCAAGCTAAACCAATCAGCAGTTCTGATTCCACTAAAAAAGCAGCAGCTCAACCAATCAGCGAACCCATGCCCTATACTTCTCAGTAGAGGCAAGGAAAAAGGTGCTGAGCAACAGGGTGCAGAGAGGGTTCTTATTCAGGCCATCGTTAGGAATTAGAGAGGAGATGCGGTACATGGGTATGTAGAGCAGCTTCATACACCACTTTTCGAGTTCACATAAATGCTCCACAGAATAGAAGTCCCTTCATACTGGAAAGTAAGTACGAAAAGGTTTGAGGAAGGACTAAGGTGCATCAGATAATTTTGGTGGATTGCCACTGTTGCCACATCATGGCATATGCAATGATGTGTGATTTGCTACATGTGATATTTTTGAGGTTACTGGATTCCAAGGATCACATTCAGGCTCTCTAGGTACACAAATAAGTGAAATGTAATTACATGCCCACTTAGCAGATAATAGTTAAGTAAATAAATACCCTGCCTTTACATGTTGCCAAAATAAATAGGCTTCGAGAAGATAAGGGAAAGTGGACTCAGGGGGACTGGCCATGTACAACATACACCTAATACAGTACCGGTTAGGAAGGGCTATTTAGTTCAAGTAAAAGGCTCTAAAAAGGTAAGAGAAAGGCCCAAAAAGACATGGATGTAATGAGAAGAGATATAGTGACTTATGGTCTGGCTAAGAGTATGGTCCTTTATAGAGTAGAATGACAGAATAAGATTCATGAAGCTGAGTCCAAATAGTTGAGATAAGGTTTGGATGATAATGATGATGGAAATAGGCTTTGAGAATATTCCTCGGTATTTTGTTGACTGTTTCTTCTTATTATAAGGGTGCACTAGGTAAAATGACCTTGACGCAATTCTGCACTTTGCGAGTACTATATTACATATCCATCGTTTTGGTCACTTTAATATGAAAGTGAAAACAAGGATATTTTTAATTTATTATTCTACACTTTTCAGCCTTTATACTGAGGTCATATCTGGAAGCAAATTCTACTTTGTACCACCAATAATCGAGTGATATGAGATAAAATATGAAGTTCACAATTGAAAAGCATTGAACTTAAAAACTTTCTGCATCCCTTATCGTAAAATTATTCATCATATGAACAAAAAATTACTGGATTTACTTTTTATGATATTGCTAAGAACTTGGAAGGGGATGACTGGTGATGGATGAAGAACAATCCCCAAAAACTGTTGTGATCTTGATTTCTGTTCCAATGTGTGATGCATGTCTTTGCATTTGACCAAAAAAGAGAGAGCACTTGGTTTGTAGTAGACCCAATCAATTTTACATTTTACATCAATTTAAAGCCACCTCCCATTATTTCTTACATCCTTCTAGGTTTTTAGTAGACCCAATCAGATCTTTGAAGACTTTGTGTGCTCAATCTGATCCAGAGCAAACTTGGATATAGTCTCCATTGAGATTCAACCCAAATGGCAACTGGGCCGTCTCCATCCAGTTCATCGAGTCTCCAAGAGACTATGCCAAGCCTTATGGCTTGATTGGGTCCATCAATTCAACAAGATAAGGGATAATCCTCAAGGCCATACAAGGCATCATAAGGAGACAGTCTGACCCCCCTTGCTTCAAGCTTCACTCAAACGATACCTTTCTCTAAAGCGAAAAAAGAAAGTATATAACATAATTTGTAAAATTATTGTAAAACCCTATCCATGTTGTAAGGAAATTCAAAAAGCCTAATTTATTATTTTTTGGGTGAAAATCATTTGAAGAGCATATGATAAAAAAACTCCACATATAACATAGTATAATAACAACTCTTTTATAGCATATATTAAATTTACTTTTTACAATTTTATTATTTTTATTATTATTTGAATGGTTTTAATAATATATTTTAACTTTTTATAGAGAAGTGTTTAATTTTCCCATGACCTAGTTGAGTAAACTGGATAGGGCCAGATGGCACTTGACCCCAGAGCTCAATCAGTTAAATTTCCTAATCTGTGCATGAACTACGATCTATGCACAGCTACAATTTTTTATTGTGTAGGATCTTTTGCTAGATCACGTGTTGACGGTCAGTGCAGAATGAAGCTCTACCCATTGAATCTTTCTCGGTCAATCAAAAGGAAGCTAGACGTAGCTTTGCCCAATGGTACCTTAACTAGGTCGCAGCAATCTCACTTTCCACGCCTTGCTTTTCCACTCGAAGCCCGCCCGTGCATTGATATGGTAGAGAAGGCCATAACCAAATCCCACTGATTTTGCTGAAGAGTATGGTAGCCGAATCTCTCGTGTTCCTGCTCACCCAAAATGATTCCCTAAAATCGACAGCACATTTTTTTTTTTTTACAGATAGCTTCTGCCAAAATAAAATGTATCTATGGCATGGAACAGTGACGACAATCAGAGATATGTACTGGAAAAGGAAGATAAAGTGAGGAACAACCCCAATACGAGTGAGTGTGTCCTTGGAAGCCCCAGTTCTAGGTGGGGTTCATGCATCACCATCAGCGGATCTCCTGACATGGGAAGAAAACTCAACAGCCCATCTAATCACATTAAGGTAGTTTCCTCTCTACCTCAAAACGTCTTGAAAAAAATTTAGAAGAAAATTTTGAGACCAATGCAAACGGTCTTTGGTTTCTACAACTGTATGTATAAACTAATAAACTAGGGCAGACAAATTTAAACAATTATTTTTAATTGTTGAAATTTTAACACATAAAAAGTCCCCAAGTATCCCTAGTTTTCCATCTATAAAATGCATGACATCCTAAGCTTTCATGATTAGAAAGACCACCACATGTAAAACCTTTCAAGTCCATTACTGGTGGGAAGTGTGCCATCTTTAAAGTATTTCAGATCATAGTCACAACTCCTGACCGTTCATTAGCTTTATGAGGATTTGATACAATGGTAGATCCAAGAAGCACTATATCCAACTTCAAACACACACACAGAGCTAGAACAATAGGAAAATGTAATGATGAAAAGAAAGGATGAATTCCATTTACCATATTACAAAATCTTCTATAGTAGGCTATCTACATAATTCAAGAATTTTTTCTTTTTTTGCAATAAAATTATATTATGATCAGTATGTCCCTAGGTTACAAAATTACATCAAGATCAATAGACATTAAAAAGAGCCTAGAAATATAAAGCATGAAAAATTTGAAAGAAAACACAGATCTGCTACTAAAACACTCATAAACAGACCCGCACAATGACATGTCTGTATGCCCATGTACAAATGCGGAAACACGCGAGTGCACTCACAGACAAACATATGCACATAAGAATTAGTGTTTGCATGAGCAAGTTCAAATGTGAGTATGAAAATGTTTACCATTATTTCCCCCTGGACACCTGCTTCTTCTAATGCTTCCCGAAGAGCCGCCTGTTCCTTCGTTTCATCATTTTCCCACCCTCCCTGCAATGGGGCACAAATAAGATCATAAAACCGCATGATAGAGTATGAAAAGAACAATGCAAAAGTCCTTTTGGCCCAGACAGATGCAGAAAATGAACAATGACAAAGCCAACAATGAACCCTGTAAAACTAAATTTCCTAACAATTTCATAATGGTGGAGCTGCAACCACTTACATAAATGTCATTCCAGAAGCGTATCATTATCAATTTCAATATTTTTGAGGATCCAAGTTTCCTGATCAATGTGATAGTACAGTACAACAAAGGACATCTAATAATCTGAAGACCTAAGGAGCCTCGAATGATGACATAAGCCCTTCCTTCCATGTTATGATAAAAATTATTAAGTCGCCACCTTTTCCATAAATATGCGGGCACAAGGATGCCTTTCCAACCTCCTTGCCAGCCAAAGAGTCAGCATTCAAGTTGTCTTCAAGGAAGCCCTGAAAAGAGATCCAGCAATAATCTAATCTCCAAGCCCCCTAATCTTCTAAAAAATCTGTCCAACCACCAAAGAAAAAGGCACAGTCCCTAGCTCAACAAATAATAATGAGCTAGTCCCTGTCCACTATCAATGGACCACAGATATAATTGTTGCGAACATTATCAACCCTCTCAGAAGAGCTCTAGCCTCTACCTCCATCAAGTGAGCAACACCAATTGGGCAGGAGTCAGGGCCCCAGAGCAAGCTCTATGAATAAACCCCGTAGCATTTCTAAGAACGGCTCCCACTCCAAGGAACTTGCATCAAAATTTAACTTTCAAGACCTAGGTGAAGGAGGGATCCCATCATAGCACGAGACAAGATTACCCAAGGACTCAGTGCGCGTCAAGGCAGGCCAATCACGACGATGGTCATGGACTGAAATGCCTCTGAATCTACATAACAGCGGCATGCCAAAAGGCACTAGACACACATGCATGTGTGCCTGGAAATTTTCATTTATTGGAGTTGCAGATGGCATGTCTGCTATGCAGACAGGCAAGTCCAAAGATTTCTCTACCTCCATCAAGTCAGCAACACCAATTGGTCAGGAGTCAGGACTCCATAGCAAGCTCTATGAATAAACCCTGTATCATCTCTAAGAACGGCTCCCACTCCAAGGAACTTGCATCAAATTTTAACTTTCAAGACCTAGATGGAGGAGGGATCCCATCATAGCACGAGACAAGATTACCAAAGGACTCAGTGCGTGTCAAGGCAGCCCAGTCACGACGATGGTCATGGACTGAAATGCCTCTGAATCTGCATAACAACGGCACACCAAAAGGCACTAGACACAAATGCATGCGTGTCTGGAAATTTTCATTTATTGGAGTTGCAGAAGGCATGTCTGCTATGCAGACAGGCAAGTCCAAATATTTAATCAACAACACACATGTCCATCTTGTAGGACACATGTCTTTACATTGTAAGACATGCATTCCGTTTAGTGAGGCAGATGTGGGCACTCGTTCCATGACTTGGAGATACATGTCTTAGGTTTGGATACACATGTTTAATTTAAGGTATATAGACACATATGCATTATACAGACTTGTATGGACATAGTTGACTTGGCAAGTATAGGTAGGTGAGTCGGAGACTTCAAATCTGAGGAAACACCAATTCTTGTATTGATGTTCTTGTAACATATCTCTAAAGTCATAAAGCATGGTCAACAAGGAAATTAGTTCCTTATTTACCGTTCTTGCACCATGGCCAACCTGGACAATCTCCCTATCCTATTGTTCCTTCCTAACCAAACCACATAAAATTGCCAAGGGCCTTAATTGCCAAAGGAGATGACCAGCCAGACTCCTTCAAGGGAGTCCAATTACAGAACAAGAACATGATCAACTTGGGCAAGGTCATAGCATATTGAACAACTTCAAATAGAAACTCCAAGCTGATCGCATTAAAGTTCAATGGATGAGGAGATGGAAAACTGTCTCTTACCATCTCAACGAAGTAAATAAAAATTGAGGCATTGGACACCTCAATGCTGAAGATGATCACTAGTCAAGACTTTCTTGAGAGTGGCCAAACACCCAAAAGCTTTTAACCTCGGGAATGGAAGAGGACCAGGTGCATGCCCTTCGCCAGGATTCCAAACAATACCCTGAAGGATCCCAGCAAATCGCCTGAGAGAGGACCAACGCTGTCACCTCTTTATCAGCCTACACATACCTCTGTGGTCTAATAAAGGTCAACTCAAAACATTCCGAAAGGTAACATCACTCCTTAACCTCAAAATTCCTAGGACCTCTACTTAAAAAAGGATGCTATATGACCAGCGTCCCCAGGACCTCGAAATAATCCTGAGTGACAATCTCCAATTCCATCACTAACCCCCACACTAACCCCCACATACGTAAAAACAGGTCCTTACGGAGAGACTCCACACACTAAACATCCACCCAAAACCTGACTCTATCCCAGACCCACATGGTATCTAACGCAACACCTAATCAAAGATCCAAATGAATAGATAGCTCGCCACATGGATATCCTACAAGACCTACATAACAACCTAGAACTCCATCGAAAAAGAGACTCCTCACAAATCTTGCTCCACAGCAACTCTCCAAAGCTACTTTGTAAGAAGTGATTGGTTGATATTTTCCCAAAATCTTAAAGCAAATACCCTCCGTTATCCTTGCTTGATAGCTGCTCTCCTCCAACAAGGTGGAATCTACGGGTTTCTCCAAGCAACCATCTTCAATAAGGTTTAATAAAAAAACCGAGTATTACAGGCTCCACATCCTTGACCAAATCTTTCCACATACTCAGACATTACTTGCATTCAGACAATCCCAAGGCATCCAACATTACGAATAACTGCCATCCACCTTGGTTGTTTTATTTTTCTTGTTGCAAAGGGAAGAACAGATAATGTTCCCATGTCTTCCCTAGAGCCATTTAAATTATATTTTCTTAAAAACAAGAAGGTAATAGAGCCCCCCAGACTTGCTTGGTATTAAGACCCAAGCACATGTAATCTCTAGTCACTAAAGGCAATACAGTTGCAAACAACAAAGCAGCAAATAGCAATACATTTGAGGCACAAATAGATGGGCCAGTGACAATGCAAGTGATCCAAGGGTACAAGCACATCATGGAAAGAGAAGGTTCACAGCCACGGCTATGAATGGAAGTACATGTGTGTTTGCATGATGAATGCATGGATCAGGAAGGATGCTACCCAAGAGAAAAGAGATTCATTGGGGTAGAAAGGAGAGTCACCATCCCGTGAAAGGAAGTGAAAGTCAAAAAGGATGCAGTAGTTCTAAGAAGGCCAACAAAGGCACTAAGGTAATCCATAACAAACTTAATGTAGCTTCCACCCTTAGTTGCAGGAACCTCCTACACCTGCAAAAGCTTGCACTCCCACTCCATGGCCAGGTTCCATATTTAGGGACTAAAAAGTCATGGAAACCACAATTCCTCAAAGCTGGAACTAAGGTTCCTCAAAGCCAAATAAGCTACAGCAAAGCTAAAATTGGTTCCACAGAATACGTTCAATACAAGTTATGGAAAATGTAGAACTGCTAAATAAGTCAAACCTACTGAACCAAATGGAATTGTTCCATCAGCAACTTCTCTAGACTACATGCATAGCTCCATCAGATGGGGCCACTGTCAACAATTCCCACAAATGAGACCACATTTAGGGGAAAAAGGCGATGTAAATGGTGACAATGAAAATATTCTACCATAAAATTATATAACTGAAAGCATTTTTCATGAACACATATTTTGCATTATGTTGCACAAGTTTATTATGTATTACATTTATCTAATTTTGAATAATATACACATATACACATGCATATATTGTACGAATGTTCTCTAAGTTCTTCCAACCTTCTAAAAAATGGCTCCTGCTTCGACACAGCTCCAATGCAACTCAATTTTTACCCATGAAGCCATGTCTCCCTAACCTTAACAGGACCAATGGGTTGAGAAAACTAGATGTGGTGATATCAAGGATTCTTCTTTTTTTTTTTTTAGGGGGTGTGTTATGGTGGTTTGGGGAGGTGCGAGCTGCAAGGAAGTGACTCAAATCAGGAAGGTCTAGTGGTGGTTGACAGGCTCCACAATAGAGCCACTGTGGCTCAGAATCTAAGACCTTAAGACCTTTCAAGTCATTGGCAAAAGATCATGGTTAATAATAGAGAAGAAGCATTTGAAACTTTACATGGTCATGGTAAAAACTGGTGGCCATTAACCACATGGCATTGTAAGGTATCCTGCAGCTTCCTCTGTAATTTTATAGTTGCAATAAAATTCAAATTAAAACATTAAACATTCATCTATAGCTCACAAAAAAAACTCTTATTCCGCTGCATGAAAAGGCACATGAATGACATTTCTTTTTCTTTGGATCAGGCAAAACATGAGGAAGTTACATGAATATACAAAGGCAAGCTGCAAAAAAATCACCTCATATTTGCATCAGAAGAAGCAAGAACAGTGAGAAGATCCAAAATAGGGAAGTTAATAAACAAAAAACATGAGGAAGTGATGTAGGAAAATTTGAGGGAACAGTAAAATTAGCAAGAAACAAAGTCAAACACAAGCATAATTTAAAGAAACCTAGGGTTTCTTCTCCATACACCAAGCTAGAGTTCCAAAAGCCTAAGTTTTTCTCTCTTGTAATTTCTAAAAATCATGTGGAATGGCCCCCTCAAGGCCCCACACACCTCTTATATATTATAATTTAATGTTTCAAGTAGAAAAAGTGTCCAAACAAATAATACATTGATCCAAATATCCTAACTTAAACTTACAATTTGTAATAACAATTTTACCCCTGTGAACAGTATTCATAAAACAGTACTTGTGAAAGTACTCATGAAATAAATAAAAAGAACATAACCCTAAAATTCCTAAAAAATTAAAACCCCTAGAAATAAACCCTAAAACTAAAACTATAATATGCATAGTTTAAAATTGAACAAAAATAATAGATAAGAATAATATTGCCCTGCATCATTCTCCCTAGTTGGAGAAAACTCCTCTCGAGTTTGAAGTGTGCTTGAATTCAGCATCAAAACCACCTTCTTCAACCTTCTTTTTCTTTGTCAGCTCAAATATTATTTATGGTAAAAAGAATTCCTCAATAAATGGATCATGATATGTATATTGAGGAATCAATGCAAATTTATCAAATGCAGCTATCCCTGAACTTCCATTGAAAATCATGTAGGAAATTTCAAACTTAATTTTTGGGTCTTATGAGGGTTTCTCAACATGTCTTCCATCATTTTCTGAAATTAGGGCCACAATTTGTGGTTTATGAGTTGACCACGTTTCATCTGCGCTTCTCTAATTCCAACATCCTAAATTTCTTAAATGCTCTATCTCTTCAATAGTACTGAAATCTTCAAAGGCCATGATTTGGATCAGTCCTCCTGTTGCCTTCTCTCCATATTTTTCACCCTCTCGCAAAATATCTTCACAATAATCGTGATCCTTATCATAGATCACATCTCTTAAAAGATGTTTGTTATTCATCTGAGTATATATCGAAGATTGGTGGTGAATCCCAATCTATAACTTGCTGACTATCGATGCAATCTATGTCAAAATCAATAATCACATCCTTCAAATCGAAAACTCTAAAGTGATGTTCCCCACGTCTAGGTCTTCTATCGTTATCCTCATCACCTGACTCCACACGTGGAGGATGAAAGTAAAAAGGCTTGTACTCGGGATCCTCTTGGGTTGAAAGATCACCATTTTACCCATTATTGAGGCTTGCAAATTGTGGGTCAGCCGCTGAATTTGCCATTCAAGTACCTCAATTCTCTCATCTCTGGGATCACAAAGCAAATCTACAAAAATCACCCTTCTACAGCCCCTTCTCGCTGCCATGGGCTGATGATGGAGAATTTGAAGGCACAGTAAAGTCAGCAAGAAACAAAGCCAAACACAAGCATAATTCAAAAAAATCTAGGGTTCCAAAAGCCTAAACTTTCTCTCTTCTAATTTTTAAAATTATATGAAATCTCGCCCTCAAGGCCCAACACACCTCTTATATATTACAAATTTATAATTTAATGTTTCAAGTAAAAAAAGTATCCAAACAAAATAATACATCAACCCATATATTCTAACTTAAACTTAAAATTCGTAATGACAGTTTTTTTTTTTTTGGGTAATTCAGTGGGGATGACGAACCCCTACACGTTTTTGAAATCGCTAGTGGATTTTGAAGGTGTTAGGTGCGAATGGAAGCCTAGACCTTAGCTGGGGCACATGTGGTGCTACCACCACGACCCAACCCCATTCTCGTAGTAATGACAGTTTTGCCCCTGTAAACAGTAATCATGAATAGTACTCATGAAATAAATAAAAACTATAAAAAACCTAAAATTCCTAAAAAACTAAAATCCCTCAAAATGAACCCTAAAACTATAATTATAATATACATCATTTAAAATTGAATAAAAATAAAGAATAAGAATAACTTTGCCCTCCATTAGGAAGTTACTTAACAAATTGGACACCAAAAGTAAAGCTCCAGAAGATTCACTCCTTATTCGCATCTAAAGAAGGGCTCGCAGAAGTATTATAATAGCAACTAAAGAGTCAGTAAGCATTCCTTCAAAAAAAAAAAAACTAAAGAGTCATTAAGCAAATCAAGCTTGCAACATCAAGATATCATATATCAAATAACCTAAAGTGATATCATATATCAAATAACCTAAAGTGATCCACCTTGATGATAAACATGGTGGTACAAGGTATATACTGCCAAAAAGATTGCTTTTATGCTTGTTGATTTACAAGCAAACTCAATGAAGATGAAATTTGTCAATAATCACAAAGAGGTAGTAATAAGAGGTAGTAATAAGATAAAAAATTTAGGACTATCAAAGAGAGGAAGAGTGAAGCACAATTTATATGGCTAGCAATGAACTAATGAATGTTATATAGCCATAACAAAGAACACTAGAATATTGAAAAGAACATTATGGCTAGCAATGAACTAATGAATGTCATATAGCCATAACAAGAACACTAGAATATTGATAAGAACACACTTTCCACCACTCAATGCCAAGGGAAAAGAACTTCTTTTCATGATTTTACCCATTAATGGGAAGAAAATAGATGCAAGAACTAAACATTTTTTTCCTCCAAAAAGAAAAAGAAGAAATTATAAAATTTTATCTAGCATTTCCATGTCCAAACAACTTAATCATATCAGAGCAATCTATGCATTAGCATCGTGGCTATCAAAAAAAACCTGTACAGATAGCTGCCCAGCAAATTTCTCCAATGGATATGCAGTAAAGGGCACACTTGGCAATCCTAAAAATGAAAATAAATGATTTTACACCGCCGTCCAATAGTTCACATTGATGAGGCAACAGACAGTAGATTTTCAGGTCAGACAAAAGATTCCCAAAGTTGAGGGAATAGAGCAGGGATTGAAGTCCCCATACTAGTATTAAATTGGCATAAAATACTTATCAGTGACATTTGCTTACTAATGCATACAAAAGGCAAATGTGCAGTTCCAAAAGGTATAACTGTGAAAGAAAACCAAATCTTTTTTTTTTGACGGTTAGCCTTACAAAAGTCGATATGCATGTGTACATCAGTTACGGTACAATGGCATGTAAACAAGCAGCACAAGGGATTTCCAGCAAGTTTTTCATCATAGTGCCTTCTAGAATATAAAGAAATTTGCCACTAACATCGAATACAAAATCATGTTTCTTTTAGTGCTTCAAAACAAAATCATAATTGACATCCCAGATGGATTCAAACAGAATAAAAGCTTGCACCATCAAACCTTTGGGAATAATAGGCCAGGTCCACTTTGAGAATTAATCATAAGAACTTCCACAGAATCATTGGACTTATCTCCTGAAGTCTCATTGCTAGTTCTATACCTATAAGGGATGCACCTGTTCAATTTCCCATGCATTAAAAAATCAGTATCTATTCAGAACAAGAATATCAAGAGCCAAAGAATATGACATACAGCTATACAATCATATATAGTCTGGTATCAGTATTGGAAAGGAAAATTCTCATAATACCTATTTGCACCCTCAGCATTTGCATCTAACTTTCTTTTTTTGAAACATTGTTTTCTTAACTAGCAAAATTAATATGTAGGAAAAAAATCGTGGGCAGGTGAGCTTTCTCTTTTTAGTTCATCAATAAAGTGTATTCCCTCCACAAAGCACCCTCATTAGATATATTATCCAAAAGGACGTCACAATTAGTTCACTTGGCAATATGGTATAACTAGAAATATTCTTTAGATCAGGAAGTGTTTATCCATCTAAATTGATACTTCCACATTGATACTTTTATGTCTTCCAAAAAAAAATCGCTATAAAAAATGCATTGAGAAACAGCAGGGGTTTAGAACTGAAACAGTGCCTCTCGAAATCTCTCGACACGAAACCTTCCAAACATATATTTCCCAATTTTTTACTTACAAAGGTGCAATACATCAATTTCACACTTTAAGATACTTTATAAGCCCCATTGCAAGCATGATCATCCCATTCATTGATCTTTCCCTTTGTAACAACTTCAATCAAGACGGAAATATCAACCATTAGGAGTGAGGGAAACCTAATCACAAAACTATGTGACCTGAGTTTAGCACACAGACTCCACCAGTTATCTAAAGACTCAGGCATACTTTTTTATGCCAATTAACATGCATGTGTGATTAAACTGGGGTGGATATTACTAATAAACAGAAACAAAAAAAAAGCAGAAAAATTTAATCAACGAATGACACTATCCAGGCAGGTATGATCATCAATAGTCACCAGGCACTACCATAAAAGTCCTTCCAAGTACACTTCCTCACTAATATATTCTTTTCCCAACCGTCAAACCTCTGTCTCCAGCTATCTCTTATAAGCAATTACATCGTTTTTATTTTATTCATAACTTATTTTCATTAATAAACAATTACATTCTTAGTCTCTCTATAACTGCCACACATAATTTTCTCATTCCCTAAGCTTATGTGAGCAGGGTAACAATATGTAGAAATCACCTAAAAAATTATTCCATCACTTTGTCAATCACCTAAAAAATTTATCCTTCCATTCGAACATGAAGAAATCCCCTGACGTTCACATATAACATCTGTCTCTAAACAAAGAGCAACCCACATCTCTCTCTCTCTCTCTCTCTCTCTC